GTGTTTAAGTTTTAAGAATCTAGTTCCTCAGGCAGAAACTTTTATTCAATGAATGCTGATGGTCATCCACTGTCTTATTTTGAAAGGTTGAAGAAGGTAAGAGAGAATCACTCTCAGTGAGGACCTTATAATACCTTTACCCATGCACACATTATATCATAAAACAATGAAGATATTCTACATAGAATAATGCATACAATTCTATAGTTCTACTTTTTATAGTAGGTGCACTCAAAACTTTCATTCACCAGAATTCTTATTGTGCTGAGAAACATGTATATTCAAGCAAATTCTTTATCAATTTTCTGAACTAAGATAAGTGTCTGATGTCAATGATTGTCTAAGGCGTGCTCTTAGGATGATTTTGCAACTTACCCGTAATAATTTCAAGATTTCTCATAATAAATAGGTACCAATTAGAAAAGAACAAGGCAGGAGTGCATATTTAGCCTAGCAGTTAAGTCACTGGTTAGGATGCCTACATCCAAAGATTCAAGAAGGAGCCTGTTGATTATGATTGTAAGTTATAAGTGAATCCTATTGGTTTGTCCAGTGACAATTGGAATTTGCAACAAATGGCATAGGGATAATAAAGATATGAGAAATTTGAAATTCTCTGGTGAGAAATTTGGGAAAGAGAAATGTTGGGTAAAAATGGAATGAGCCTTAGATAGGGGTCCTTTAATAGTGATGCTTGAAAGATAGACTAGGGCTACAGAAAGTCCTAATGAAATTATTGTTATTTGAATTAACTTTTTTTTTATTGTGGTAAGAGGAATGCAAGATAAAATTTACCATCTTAACCGTTCCTAAGTGTACAGTTGCATAGTTGTTGTGCAACAATCTCTAGAACTTTATCATCTTGCAAAACTGAAACTCTATACCCATTAAACAGCAACTCCCCACTCCCCCTCCCTCTGGCCTCTGGCAACTGATGAGATAATTTTACAATGTTATGGTGGGTTGTGCAATATAACTTCCATCCTTACTTTAAAAAAGGGAAATCTATGTTGCTGTTTCATGTTTTCATGCAAATTGGGAGAGCTGCAAGCGGTGCTGAATTTCATGTCAGGCTGGTCAGGAGAAAAACTTGCAGGAACTGGAGATTAAAACAACTCTGGTGTCTTTTTACTCCTGGAAACACTGGGCCCAAGTATTTTTTGTATTTTCATTTAAAAAATTATTTATTTGAGAGGCATAGCAATAGAAAAAGAGCTCCCATCTGCTGGTTCACCTCCCACAGGCCCTCAGGGGCTGGAGCTGGGGCAGACCAAAGCCCCAATGCTGGGAACTCAATCAGTGCTCCAACATGGGTAGCAGGTTTGCAACTACCTGAATCATCACCTTCTGTCTTTCAGGGTGTGAATTAGCAGGAAGCTGGAGTTAGGAGTGAGGGCCAAGTATTGAACCCCAGCACCCTGATGTGTGTGAAGTGGGCATCCTAACCAGTGACTTAACTGTGAGGCCAAACACTGACACCTGCCTTGTTCTTTCTTCAACTGATCCTTCTTTACTGTGAAAAATCTTGAAAATGTTACGGATAATCACCACAATCATCCTGCTAAGAGTATATAAGACTACTGAAAATATCCCAAAATACTAGCTATCCTCATGTATCCCTAGCAACATGATCATACTATCAAAATATAATAATATCTTCAATTTTCCCACAATTAGGAGTACCAACAGAAAAAGAACAAATGAAGTAATTCCTCACATAAACATTGCAAGGTGACAAGCTAAGGGAAAAAAAGAGTTTTTTTTATAGAAAGCTTTTATTTAATAAAATATATTTCATAGGTACAACTTTTGATTATAGTGGTTCTTCCCCCCACACGCACCCTCCCACCTCCACTCCCGTCCCACCTCCTACTCCTTCTCCCACCCATTCTTCATTCAGATTCATTTTTAATTATCTTTATATACAGAAGATCAACTCTATACTAAGTAAAGATTTCAACAGTTTGCACCCACACAGACAAAGTATGAAGTACTGTTTGAATACAAATTTTATTGTTAATTCTCATATTACAAATCATTAAGTACAGAGGTCCTACATGGGGAGCAAGTACACAGTGACTCCTGTTGTTTATTTAACAATTGACACAAAAAGAGATTTCTTCAGAAAATAATAGGTATAATTTTCAGTCTTTTATTTAATTACTGAAGCAAAGGTCATTTCTCCCTTTACATGACTGCTTTCCTCTATGCTCTCTAGCGTGAAAATCCCTTACCAGAGTTCTGGGATCTCTTGTCTGTCACATAGGAAACCAGGCTGATTTTGTGGTTCAGATACCCACAAGTTATGTACTAAAATCTTATTTGAACTGAGGCTAGATGGTATTTATTGGGACAGGATAGGATGCGTAGTTTTAGAGCCTTCCAGGAGTCAAATCCTTTAACAGGACAGAGATGATTTAATACATTGGGTATTATGTCCAGAGTGCATTGCTTCCATTCCCCTTCTTGTTAAGCCTGGTAATTTGCCAATGTAGTAGGTGAAAATTGATGAGTGGGTGGCACTTTCTGGGACACAGACTGAAGGAGCCAGGAGTTCTGAATTCCTTTGGCAACAGCTTCTCCTCATGGGGTGTATAAGAGTGTAGTACTTTCGTGTACTGCTTTTCAACTTATTTCTACATAGAAAAGGATAAATGATCCCAATAGGCTTAGTTTATACTATGACAGTGTTCATGGGCAGTCAGAAAAGATACTGCATAGTACAATTATTCCTAGATTTTCCATGAATCAGAAGACAGAAAATCCACACAAAAGTAAATTTGATCCAAATCTATTTAGAATTCTATTTCCTTCAGAATATCTCTACACAAAGGGATTTGTTTATCAATCAGATCATGAACTTTATTGAATTGCATTCTGTGTAGAATCACTAAGTATGACACCCAAGGATATGTGTGTCCTGAAATAATAAAGAGGAGCAGCTAGTAAGAAAATCATTAGTTCTCAATTTACTAAGATAGAATTAGTGAGAATACGACTTATTTAGATACACAATTTACATATACAGATAATTGGAAAGAAAGAATTGGACTGAAGATCCTATTTAGGAATTCGTTCATTTCTTAGATTTTATATGGTTTTTATATAAATAATAGACAAATGTGAATTAAACAACTCTTTTTTTTTTTTTTGACAGGCAGAGTGGACAGTGAGAGAGAGAGACAGAGAGAAAGGTCTTTCTTTGCCGTTGGTTCACCCTCCAATGGCCACCATGGCCAGCGCGCTGCAGCCGGCGCACCGTGCTGATCCGATGGCAGGAGCCAGGTGCTTCTCCTGGTCTCCCATGGGGTGCAGGGCCCAAGCACTTGGGCCACCCTCCACTGCACTCCCTGGCCACAGCAGAGAGCTGGCCTGGAAGAGGGGCAACCAGGACAGAATCTGGTGCCCCGACCGAGACTAGAACCCGGTGTGCCGGCGCCGCTAGGCGGAGGATTAGCCTAGTGAGCCGTGGCGCCAGCTAAACAACTCTTTAAAAGATAATTAACTGCCTAAAAGTTGAACTTTTAATCACATGTTGGTAAAGCAGAAATTAGAATAAATTTAGGAAAAATTATTTCTTTAACTAAGAGCCAAAGGGAGCACAAAAACAAGACTAGTGTCTGCAAATACTAGCTGATAGAATAAAAAAGGGAAAGAACGATCCAACATGGGAAGCGAGATACACAGAAGACCCATAGAATGGCAGATGTCCTAAACAGCACTCTGGCCTCAGAATCAGCCCTTAAGGCACGCGGATCTGGCTGAAAAGCCCGTGAGAGTAATTTTTTATTTTTTAATTTTCTCCCCAGAAGCCTTTTATTTAAGGAATGCAAACTTCATACATATCATAATTACAACTTTAGAAATGTGATGATTCTTTCCACCGTACCCACTCTCCCACTCACTCTCCCACTCCTCTTCCTCCTCCCTCTATTATTCCTATTCTTATTTTTAATAATTTTTAGAAGTAGGCTGTTGACCGGGTTATGATCAGGAAGATTTGCCAGGTCAGTCTTTGTTTTCCTTGTGGATGGGAGAAAAGGAGAGACACCAATCCAGGCTCTGTTCAGCCTACCTGTTTTAAGCACGGTTTTATTTGGGATCTGGTTTTTCATACAGCTTGGTCAATACTTGCAAGCATTATTTCCAGCCTAGCATCATTCTTCAGGCTCCATGCTTCAGGAGATGGCCTTTCTTGGGGCTGGCGTTAGGGTGCGGCGGGTTAATTGGCTGCTTTGTGATTCCAGCATCCCATCTCAGAGTACCAGTTCAAGTCCATGCTGCTCCACTACCAGTCCAGCTCCTCTCTAATGCACTTGGTAAAGCAGCAGAGGATGGCCCAAGTACTTGGGCCTCTGCCACCTACATTAAAGACCCAGATGGAGTTCCTGTATTCTGGCTTCAGGTGTTGCAGGCATTCATGGAGCAAACCAGTAGATAGACGAGCTCTGTTTTCATTTTCTCTCTCGGTCACTATGCTTTTCAAATAAGGAAATAAATTGTAAAAAGAAGAAGAAGAAGAAGAAGAAGAAGAAAGCCTTTCCTTTAGGGCTACTACAATCTACAAAATGAGATTATGCCTCTGGGTTACAGGAACAGAAAACAAAGGGTAATTTACACAGACAACTGAAGTATCTCCTCACCACAGCCCTTCTCTATAGCAGAGTTTAAGATTTCTGGGGAGAATTAGAGAATCACTTGCAGACTCATTTTTACTCCTACACGTGGCAGGTAACTGACATATAATGGATTTCAGGTCTCAGGCTCAGTCCCGTAATGCCCATGAGTGACACTGGGAGATGAATGTGGTGATTATCAGTGCGCCTTTCTCTGCGGTCAAATAGAATCAGAGGAACTCAGTCCAATGTTGATTGACAACGCTGTTCTCAGGCAAAAAAAAAAAAAAAAAATCCTCCCTGTGAACACTCACAGAGCAAAAATGATTGACAATTTCTTCTGATACAAAGTAATGTACTAATTTCTCCGTCTTGTTCCTGAAGCCTCTGCCACCTTGTCATGACTCCGCGGAATCCATGCAGGTGTTCAAACAGCACTGCCAAATAGCAGAAGAATACCATGAGGTCAAAAGAGAGATTGCCCTGCTTGAAGAAAGGAAGTAAGTACTTCCCCTGGAGTGCTCTCACTTCTGCACTGTCTACTGGGCAAAGAGTAGGAGTGGGAAAGAGGGGATAGACGGAGCACAGGGTTGGAGGGAGGAGAGAGTAGCAATGATCCAAACAGTACTTGCTAGATCCAAATAGTACTTGCTACTTTATGGAGTAGCAAGAGGAACAGTGAAAGTACTTTCTATTCAAAATTTATATTTATTTTTAGTTCAGGAAATTGTAATTGACAAAATACCACCTATAGTCACACTGTGTTCTTTGTGAATGTGCTCAGAGGCCCCAGAGCACTTTGGCATGGGGTAGATTTTAATTAATACATAAACCATGAGGTTCAAACATCAAATAAGGAAGCCATTGGGATAGCTCTTTGGAATAATATAAATGTATTAGTTGGTTAACTGTGCTTTATAGTCCAAGTAGGTTTTTATTTTGATAGTTTCTGTGACCATTCTGCTGTAGGGAATTAATACAATTCTATTAATTTAGGCACTCTAATTTTATTTACTCATAAGTGTTTGTTTCAGAATCTTTTTTCCTTGTATTTGATTCAGCCAATATTTACTGCAATAGCTCCAAATTCTTTTATACTTTCTTTTTTTTTATTAAAGATTTATTTGGGAGTCAGAGTTATGTAGAGAGAGGAGAGGCAGAGAGAGGTAGAGACAGAGAGAGAAAGAGAGAGGTTTTCCATCTGCTGGTTCACTCCCCAATTGGCCGCAAAGGCCGGAGCTGCACCACTCCAAAGCCAGGAGCCAGGAGCTTTTTCCAGGTCTCCCATGCGGGTACAGGGGCCCAAGGACTTGGGCCATCTTCTACTCCTTTCCCAGGCCATAGCAGAGAGCTGGATCAGAAGTGGAGCAGCCAGGACTCGAACCGACGCCCATATGGGATGCTGGTGCTTCAGGCCAGGGTGTTAACCTGCGTTAACACTGCGCCACAGTGCCGGCTCCTCTTTTATACTTTCAAAGCATGAGATTCAATCTTTTCTTCATAGCACTGGCCAATTTGTACTGACACATTTATTAGGGAAATCTTTTGGTTCATATTTTGTAAGTGGTGAATGCCATTAAAGCACAGATGGATGAGTGTTGCTCACCATTAGAGTCTAAAGCCTTGTGTAGTACATGGCACCTGGAGGCTGAATAAATTATTACTGAATGTGTGAAGAACAATCCAAACCTATTGTGACTCTAACTTTCCGTTTCTTCTTCCTCTTACTGGAGTGACATATGACATGTGTCTATTGCTTGATTTTCAAATAAAATGAAGTAGTTCTTTAGAAAAAAACTTACCAAATTTTTGGATTCTTTGAGGCTCCACAGAATGATCCTTAGAGTGTCTAACATGGTGGTAGGCAGTATGAGTTTTGGGGTCAGACTTCCAAACTTTCTGTAAGACTTGAACACATTACAACCATTTCTTTCTTCCTTGCTTTACTATATACTTCAAGCATAAAATTATACTTGGACTTTGGTTATAGGGGATTGAAAGATGTTTAATAGGAGATAAGAAACACATTTTTCCCCTTGTATATATATCTAAGACTTTATCTTTGGTCTAAAAGTTTTGATAAGTTGCTTGGATTCAGATTGTACATTATACACTGGCTGAAACACTTAAAAAGTGTTTTATAAAGGAATTATTGAAGTTGAACTCAAAGGAGGACTTGTATGATCATTAGCCTGTAAGTGTGTCTTCCTCTTCATGTGTGTGTGTGGGGGGGGGTTAGGGGTGGGGGGACAGTTGTGGTATAGTAGAAAAAAAAAAAAAAACCCAGGTAATTATTTGTAAACTCTCCAGATTGAAAGTACTAGAGAACTTTGTTATGGAAATTAACTCTCCATGTGTGGCATTTTTTTCTTGGCAAGGCAAGACTCACCTACTAAATTATATGTTCAGCAAGTTTGTATTTTTGTATGTTGCATTTTAAGAAAATATAGGATAATGACATGAAAGTGACTCCTAACGGTTTTTGAAACCTGTCCTGGCTGCTTGTGCTAAGAGCAATGTTGATTGTGGGTGCCACCATGATATTAAAATAAGAAAAGGCACGGTCAATTTCTAGAAATATGGTGGCTAGCAGACCAGTGGAGGCATGTCATATAACCTTTGGGAGCAACAAAGAAGTGGACCTAATTAGCTCATGTTTATTTCTGAAGAATTCATTTTATTTCCTCTCCAAACCTATTTGAATTTTCTCTCTAAATAATTAACTAGATGTGGGACAAAGGTAAATTTTTTTATTATGTTTCACTTTTTTTTAAACTCCATTTTCCCCATTCTCACGCCTACCATTTGGGTTTGCAGCCTATTCAAATCTTGATTGATGCAATATTATAACTGCTTTCCCTGCCAATTCCCTACCAATTCTTGTTGCTAAAAAATTATAGCCAAGTCTTTGGCCTGGATTTCAAGATTCTCCATGGTGCACCTTGGGAGTTCTGTAGCACTTCTTTTTTTTGTAGTTTTTTTTTTTTTTTTTTTTAAAGATTTATTTGAAAGGTAGAGTTACAGAGAGGCAGAGGCAGAGAGAGAGAGAGAGGTCTTCCGTCCGCTGGTTCACTCCCCAGATGGCCACAATGGCTGGAGTTGTGCTGATCCGAAGCCAGGAGTCAGGAGCCAGGAGCTTCTTCTGGGTCTCCCACGTGGGTGAAGGGGCCCAAGGACTTGGACCATCTTCTACTGCTTTCCCAGGCCATAGCAGAGAGAGAGATCGGCAGTGGAGCAGCCAGGACTCCAACTGGTGCCCATATGGGATGCCGGCACTGCAGGTGGAGGATTAACCTGCTGCACCTCAGCACTAGCCCCTTGTAGCACTTCTGTCTCATTCCTTGTCTTCAGCTAGGCTAACTTTTCCCAGGGTATTACCACATTTTTGGCCTAAAGCATCCGTTTCTTGCTTTGTGCCTGCACAAATGCTACCCATTCTGAAGGAGCGCTCAGCCGGTATGCCTGTCCCAAACATCCACCCCACAATGGTCAGCTCTTCTTCTGAACAGAGGAAAATTTACTGGAATGATTCTTTTGGTGCTTTTCAGCTAGTGCTATCACTAATTATCCATTTAAGATCAAGTCCTGTCCTGATTTCTGACTATTATAGTTCTCACAAAGGTAGACATTCTTTAATATCTCTGTATACTACCACCCAGCATGGAGTTGTACATAGGGCCAAATGTGAAAGAAGGTTGTTTAGAGTTGTTGATTGTAGGTTATAGTAGTATCCTATGTGTGCATTTTTATTTTATTTGTAATTTGTATGCTTTATACTTACAGTATACAGTTGATATCATCAATAGAGTACTGCTAAGACAAATTATGAAATTAGGAAGTGTGGTTATATCTATGTTTGTAAATAAATGTGTCAGATTTTCTAAAGGTTATTAATGATCATTGGTTTTATTAATATTTTATGGAAGCAGAAATTCATTTTGCACCAGATCTTTTCCAACAGTCTTTATTTTCAGCCTATTGGAACATATCCATTTGACCCAAGTAATTAGCTCCCCATTTTGTGATGACTCTGATGAGAATTTCTTTCACATCTTTTTTTGTTTTGTTTTGTTTTTTTGACAGGCAGAGTTAGTGAGAGAGAGAGACAGAGAGAAAGGTCTTCCTTTTCCATTGGTTCACCCCCAAAATGGCCGCTGTGGCCGGCGCGCCACACTGATCCGAAGCCAGGAGCCAGGTGCTTCTCCTGGTCTCCAATGTGGGTGCAGGGCCCAAGCACTTGGGCCATCCTCCACTGCACTCCCGGGCCACAACAGAGAGCTGGACTGGAAGAGGAACAACCAGGACAGAATCCGGCGCCCCAACTGGGACTAGAACCCGGGGTGCCGGTGCCGCAGGCGGAGGATTAGCCTGGTGAGCTGTGGCGCCGGCTACCTTCCCATCTTTTCATAAAGCATAGCTGATTATGTTGCCTCTGGTGATGAGCTTGCAATAGCAAGACACAAAGAGAGAGGCTATTTCAAATGAGTTTTTCTTTATTGGAGCTTTTCAGACCCAGCTTAAGGCTTGAACTCCAAGCTGAACTTCTCTCTCATCTCCAGAGGGGGTCTCCCTGGATCAAGTTTGGGAGAATTTGCAGAGGAGTGATAAGAGTTGATAAAATTATTATTTTAAATCATATCTATTAGATGCATAAAGGGAGTCACACATTCTCTAGGATTATAAACCCAGCAGGGGATGAATCCAATTTAGAGAATCACTTCTGCCTTATGACCAATGATTTAAGAGATGCTTGTTCTTGCTTTTATTGAAATTTCTTTATTGAGAAGTTTTATTGAAATTTCTCACTATAGAAAATTTATTGAAAGCTTTATAAAATTACCAAGAATTCTAACATATTTAAGAAGTCTCCACTATAATTTTTTGCCTCTTTTAGTGTTTTGCATATGAATAGATATTTTAACATAATTATACAGTTATAGTTATGCATACCATAACTGTAAATACTCAATAACATGAAATGTGAAGCATGATTTTTTTTTCAATAAACATTATGACCTAAACATTTTTACACAGTATATAAAGCTTTTTTGATATATAATGGAAGTCTATGGATGTGAGATACAGATATTTTATGGTTTTTTGAAATTTAACTTCAAGTTGTTTGACAGAAATTTTTAAGGTATATTATTAAAGTATGGGCAACTATAAAGATTGCTTTGCTTCAGATAGAGTTTTTTGTCTTGTACAGTGGAGAAGCCACTTGTCTACTCTATGTCTTTATCATTATTTTAGATTCTTTGCTATTTAGAAAATTGACATAGAATGTCAGAAAAAGAGATAGTCTTTTTAAAAAATCAGATTGAAGAATGTTGCATACTCTTATTTTTCAACAATCCACTGGTTTCCAGTGTATTCACAGTATTGTGCAACCATCACCACAATTTTACAATAATTTCATCACCCCAGCCAGAAACTTTCTACATTTATCTTTATGAATTTGCCTATTCTCTGAACATTTTATATGAAAGGAATCATAAAA